ACCAAAGACATTAAAGAGCTCTACAATGAAAATTTTAAATCTTTAAAGAAAGATACTGAGGAAGACACGAGAAGATGGAAGGACTTCCCATGCCCATGGATTGGAAGAATATTGTGAAAATGACCATCCTACCAAAAGTCATTTATAGATTCAATGCAATGCCAATCAAAATCCCCATAACATTATTCACAGAATTGAAAAGAAAAATCCCAAGATTCATATGGAAGCACAAAAGACCTCGGATAGCCAAAACAACCCTGAGCATGAGAGCAATGCCAGGGGGGGATTACTATACCAGATTTTAAACTGTATTACAGAGCTATAGTCATAAAAACAACATGGTACTGGCACAAAAATAGACCCATAGATCAATGGAACAAAATTGAAGACCCAAATATGAGTACATGCCATTTCAGCCACCTGACATTTGACAAAAGGGCAAAGAATATTCACTGGAGGAAAGAGAGCATGTTCAGCAAATGGTGCTGGCAAAACTGGATCTCTACCTGTAGAAGAATGAAACTAAACCCCTATCTATCACCCTGCACAAAAGTCAATTCCAAATGGATCAAAGACCTCAATGTAAAGCCTGAAACTCTGAAACTGTTAGAGGAAAACATTGGCAAAAACCTAAAAGATATATGTGTAGGAAAGGATTTTCTAAACTGGGCATCAATTGCTCAGGAAACAAGGGCAAGAATTAACAAATAGGACCTCATTAAACTAAAAAGCTTCTGTGCATCAAAGGAGGCAACCAGGGAAGCGAACAGAAAACCCACAGAATGGGAGCCAATCTTCACCAGCGACACATCCAACAGAGGTTTAATATCCAGAATATATAATGAACTAAAAAAAAAACAGAATTAAGACAAGAAGCAACCCAATTAAAAGATGGGCTAAGGAGCTGAACAGAGAGTTCTCAAAAGAAGATGTAAAGATGGCTATGAAGCATCTTAAAGGATGTTTAATGTCACTAATAATTAGGGAAATGCAACTTAAAACCATTTTAAGATTTCATCTTACCCCAGTCAGACTGGCTAAGATCA